TATTCATCCAAATCTTTGGAAATTACTGTACACTGTCCATCATCATATCCTCAAACTAATTTGCTTAAGTTGGAACAAGTACAATAATTGCTGTTCTTAACCAATTATTCTTGCAAATCTATTGAAAATTTTTTTATAGTCTGTCCCTCCCCAGCAAACAGTAATTTATAGAATTAATAAAAAAATAACGACAACATTATCTCCTTTTTAAAAATGAATTATTTTTCTTAAAACAATTTCATTTTTATGTAACGTTTTTTAACGAAAATAATGGTCACAGAAAATCTTCCATGAATGTTAAAATAATAGGTTATAGAGACCATAGAGTAATCATCAGAATTTATACTGATAGTGTGCAAATTAATATTTTCTGGCTATTATTATTCGCGGAACCCCTGAAATACTATAGTACTGTTCACTGAGAGGCGTAGACCTGAAGGGAATAGAAATTATGTTAATTTTTTTCATACTGTATATATTGTATAGTAAACAAAGCACAGTGTGTGACAGTAAATAACTATCAACATAAAAGCTTTGTTAATTTATGTTAAACTAAATTTTACAGAATTTTCTTAAACGTCAAATTTTATTGGACTCTTGTAACATGCATATATTGCCTTATTTCATTTTTTGCCTGAACGAAAGTACCTGTACTTTACCCTGGATTGGTTTGTTTGGTCTAATTATTGGAAAGAGCACACACAACCAGAGAATCGAAAGATTATGGGGAGATGTTTTCCAGGGATCTCTCCATTATTTCTGTCAGTTGTTTCATTATTTGGAAGACAATGGAGATTTGGATAGATTTAATGAGGTCCACTTGTTTGCGCTTTAGTATGTCTACAAAGCAAGAATCAACAAATCTCTTGAAGACTGTGTTGATGGTTGGACAAACCACAAGATAAGAACAGAGGGAGGAAAAACTCCTCCCAGTTGTGGGTTGATGGTCAACTGGAACAGTTCATTGGCTTTGATGAAGGTGATGTTGAGGATAATGATAATGATGATTTACAAGAGGTATTTAATAATGTGTTTAAAGTATTATAAATATTTATGATAGAAAATGGTTGAAAGTTATACAAAAGCAGATAATGATTATACCTGTAAATGTTTGTTGTTTTTAAAACAAACAACAATTCATTAAGGCCTACAGAATCAATTGCCTGACAGTCAATGGAAACCAAAAATGTTGGGGGGTGGCGGGGGTGGGGGGGAATTTGCAACTAAAAAATGAGACAGGCCGGTTAAAAATTTGGGAGGGCAACTAAAACTTAAACCTTGGTTGCAATCTGTGCAACCATTTTATTTTTTTAATTCTGCAAGCCTGTTCATATATAACAAATCAAGCTATTTTTTACGATATAATATATAAAGTCTTATTGGTTCAAACATCATCACCCTATTCTTTAGTTTTATTTCAAACCTAATAATGGTTGAAACTTTCAAAATTTCTTTTCTCAAAAATGCAATATTTATTAGATGCAGTGTGCACACAAATGAATTGGCCTAGGATATGATATTTAGACTAGAAATTGTTAAAAATTAATCTTATCCAACGAAAGTGTAAATATTGATTATTTATTTATAATTTTATTTTTAAATACAGAAATAAAGTACAGTTTCATCTTTCTTTCAAAATCCACAGTAGAAACAATCACCATATTCAAGTTTAGATTACTGCTGTACTATTGTTGTACACAATTTTAATAGCAAAATGTTAAAATAGAAATTAAGAGATGCTTACTGTGTGATGTTGATAAAATGAGAGATGCATAGATGTTTTAAGGTGTTAATGAGTTTACTTGAATTTCTTTATAGGATGTTATAGAGCCAGAAGAGTTGGAAGAAGGAGTAACAGACCATGTTATGGTAGAAGAGCCAAGAAATATTTTAATAGATGAGGTTTATCAACAACTTCAACAAGAAATTAACCCATTAAGACCTAGTTCTCAGCATGGTATTGATGTTTACCTGGATGTCTTACAGTATATTAATAATACAATGATTGAAAATTAAACAGTAAAGTGAGCGAAAATGACTATGAGTTGCCAATTATAAATATAACATATTAGTTTATTATCAGAGTACTGATGAAAATATGATTTTGTAGTTAGACAACTATGCAGACAACCAAAAACCTGTTGTTGTTTTATTTGCCTTTCACTTTCTTTGTGAGGGTTTTCTGTTGTAGAGTAATTGTGACTCAAACATCTGCACCCTACTGCTGATATCAAATGCAATCAAAGTTAATTGTTTTTTGGAAAACTTATTAATAATTTTCTCTTAAAGTAATATAGTAGTTGAAAATATAGTGATTGTCTATCTTTAATTAAAAATTATCTTTGTTTTTTTATTATTATTAAGGTTTTTTTCAAACTTTGTAAATATTTTCATTGCTTTTGTAGATTTTTTTGTGTCATAATTGTATCTCTTTGTTAATTTTGATTTTTTATTGTTTAATTTAGTCAAACTGCGCAAGAGTGTTTTCCTTCTTCGCTTAGAAATTTTTATTATTTAACATTTTTATAAAAAAAATGAACCCAATTGGTGATTTCAGTTATTATTATTATCAAGTGCTGATCTTTCAGATAAAAGACATTTACAGTTATACATTATGAATCATTTTTTTAAAAATGTGATTATAATTAACAGACGTTTCCTGCATTTGCATATTTGTGTAGAATATACAGGATATTATTGTCAAGATTATAATAGTTATTGTTTACAGTAGATCGTTTACCAGCTAATTTTAAAGATTAAAAAATGATTTTTTTAATTTGATTTTAAAAAAAAAAAATTAAATCAATGACCAATAGTCCACTTTTTACCTAGTTAATGCATTTTATCCCACAAACTTTTAGACAGAAAATAAATATTACCTTTAAAAAAAAATGGTATTTTTTTGTATCCAACTGCATTATAGAGATATTGTTCAGAATCTTCAATTAATTATTAATTGATTAAATTACTGTTGTAACAGTCTTTTTGCTTTAGGTTTTGGGCAATTTCACGGTAGCGGAATCACTATTTTCCTGAACTTTTTAACTTTAATCTAATGTCATATTTACACTCCATTCTAATTCTTGGAATAATTATCATATTTACATAACTATGGAATCCATCTATAATTTCCACCCTAGTTTTTTTTTAAATCTATCACAATTTTGATATAATATCAAAAAATATGTATGGTAGCGGAAAGACAAAAAAAATACCCTCTATTTTTACCACTTCACATTTTATTAAAACCCTCTGATTTATGAAAGTGATTTAAAAATTGAATACATCTCAGTTAATCATAATTTAGTGTAGTATTGAATGCAAAACATTGATTTTTATAAATGTTTATAGTTTTGGAGATATTTATAAAAATATAAGACCATGTCTGGTAGCGGAATCACAGTAGCGGAATGACCATTGATAAAAGTGCATTTGAAATTAATATTTATGAAAAACCTTCTTGACTAAATGTAAAATCCTTCACTTTTTATGAAAACAATGCTGAAGCAATTCACTTGAAACAAAATTTATTTTAATTTATCAAGTCTCAAACACAATTATAAAAATTATGAAAATTAATAAAAATATTGGATTGTTTATACTGTATATACCAAAACACAATAACATTATATTTTTAGTCTAGAGTTTGCCTATCTATACTTAAAAACATTCTGAGAAATATAGTTGTTTAATTATTCAACTTAATCAAATATATATCATTATTTATGAATATAATTATAGTGGCGGAATGACAGTAGCGGAATGACATTGGAATATTGCTATAATTTACTGGTGATTCTTAAGTATATTAACAACACCCAAAAGCAGCATGTGAATTTCCACAAAATTACAGATGTTAATGGTCAATCTGTTTGTATATTGAAGCATTAAAACCTCACAAAGCATCAGTTATTGCTCTCTCAAAATGATATCTTTCTCTATTGTCCATATATGGAGAAGGAAGAACAGCCACCACTTGGTCTGAATCAATTAATCCAACTTTGTCTGTCACTTCCTTGACTACAAAAACTTTCCCATCTTTGTCATTTTTGAACAAATGAGTTACCAGCAAACCATCAGATTGAACTTCAGTAACTAGAGCGACGTAATTAAATAACTTGTTGCTCTTGTCGGCCACATATTTTACGAGAATGAAATCTCCACAGTTAGCAGTGTGCGACACAACTTCTTTCCTTGGTAGAGATGACACTTCTGGTGGTACCAGTACAAACTCTTTCACATCATTTGAACTGCTGTAGGTTGCATATTTCACAGTGTGATCAGCAACTGGCTTCACAAAATGTATGCTCTGTGTATTTGGCAGAGTCTTTACTTTTTCCCATCGTCCATCAAGTTTACTTTTTTTTTTCAAAATATCCTTAGATAAAAGAAGCTTAATGTTAATTCCTGGTGCACTTTCCATAGCCACTTTGGTGAAAGACTCTGCATCATTAACAAAGGCACCTAACTTCATTTTGCGGAAAACCGAATTCTTTACAACCCCCCCCCCCAATCCCATCTACTGCTCCTTTGCCGTGAGATGTTGCGAAAAAGTTCCATGAGCAGCTAATGTTATAATCGTGTTTAAAGTATGTAAGATTCTCAAACAAGTACTTTTGCTTAAATTGGCTTGCGGCGCCATCGCTGAAGAAGGAGACTGTATTCAATCCAGGGAACTTTGTTTGTAAATCCCTTATAATGCAGTCAAGGAATTCCGCTACTTCATACTTGCCGTGATTCATTTCATCACTCACTATAACGTATGACTGGACACCATCTCCTACATGTGCGCAACACGTAAACAATGTTATTTGTTTGTGACTCCAGTGAGCACTCTGGATTTCATCTTGGTGTACTATCGCAAAGTTCTCTGCAAAATCCACTTGAATGACAGCATACTCATCATCTGCTTTCTGCTTCTCGGCTTCAAAATATTGGCTTTGTTGTCTCTTTATGAATGTGTGAACCAAAAATGATGGTGTCTGTTCACGAAGTAGGGCTACACATTCATGTAGATTTCCATGCTGTTCAACCTGAAATTTTACAAACATATTCATTAAAAATATATAATATATAAAATAATATACTATTTGAAAAAAATAACTTTTGAGATAAAAAATAAAACTTGCCTTTTCCATGTGGCCTTCAACGGAAGTCCATTGGTACCAACTTATCCTGGTGTCTTCAACTGCCGCCGGAAAAGAGAATACGTCATCAAATTTTGATACACAGGCATCACATCTTCGGTACATACAATTTTCATTCTCTTGGTTGCACGTTATGCTGTCAATGAATGGCCGAAATTCTGTCTGAATATTAGTGGCAGATGTAGCTATCTTCACAGCCTGTAAAAGTAGCCTGACATTTTCGTGGTATTTACAAATACATAAATTGTGTGGAAAGTGTCTGGATAGTGAAACATGTGTTGGCCTAAGTAAGGTAAACTTAGTTAGTCCAATTTTGTTTTCAGGGTTCCTTTCAAGATAGAGAGCATGGCATTCTTTCAAAGACATTCGCAAGAACCGCTTTGCCACCAACTTCTTTTCACCATTGGCCTTGATTGCTATTACGTCTTTTCTAGATGGGCTTTGCCAGGAAATATCGTCATGGCAAAAGTGAGATGTTACGGCATCAAGTGTTGACTTTGGTAAACCTTGACATCCTGATTGTGCAAGTATGACTTCAGTGTCGCATGCTGCAAACTTCTCAGCAAGTATTTTAACTAATTTACTACGCTTCCTTGGACTCTTAGGTAGTGTTTCAATGACACGCTTAGTAGCCTTTCCGAGGCTCTGTGCAGAACAATTGAGATTCTCTTTCTCACAAACTTTTTGTCTGTATCTCCTCTGGTTTTCTGCCTGAGCAGCTCTCAACTTCTTCAGCTCACGATTAGACAAGCCTTGTCTCTTTTTCTTTTTACGTTCCCGATCTCTTCTTTTATACTCGTCAGGGCTAATACGTTCTTTCAACTTGTCCCTGTATCGCTTTGACTTCTCTGCAGCAGTTAATGGCATTTTGGTACTCGTGCGATCTCGATGATAAAAAAATAACAAGTGATGCAGTATTCTTTAAGATGCATAAGAATACATTTGTCACTGGTTTGTGAGCCAATAGCAAGCACTTAACTTTAGTAGGTGGAGTAAAAACCAACCATACAAATTTAAATAAGTTGTTTATTATAAGTAAATTTATTTGATTAACAAGTACCTCTTTGAAGCAAAACTCTTAAAGTAGAAAGTTTATTGGAAGTTTCTGAGAAAATACACATCGCCCTTTTCCCATACCTAAACTTGCATTTGAACAACAAAGTTGATCCAAGCTTTAATTATTGTTTATTTGTATCATTTAACTATTGAAATTTGTTAATCCATTTGATACTTGGAAAAGAAGTTGAATTTTGTTGCTATTTTAGTGGGTAGCATATTTTGGTAGCGGAAATACACGTCATTCCGATACTACATTTGGTAGCGGAATCACGGTTTTAAAACCTTTATTTCTAAAAATATAAAAAAAAAATTATTTAAAGCCTATTATTTTCTGATCCATCTATCAGTAGTCTATTATCACCTGTACTTTCATTTTTGAAAAATCAATACTTTTGGAGAAATTTTTAAAAAATCACTTTTTTGGTAGCGGAATCACATAAATTAACCAAATTTTTTAAAAAACAAAAAAAATAATTTATTATTTAAAAATTATAATTTTCACCTTTAAAAATGGTAATAGTACCTATTCTTTTGTAAAATAACATGAATTTAGAATTTTCCAACATATACATTCTGAATAATAATTGAATTTAAGTAAGCTATTTTTTACTATATTTTAGAAATTAAAAGTACTATGTATTTGAATCATTTTTTTCACATTTTACCATTGAAATACCAAAATATTGATTTTAGATCTTAATTCTACATAAAATGAGCTTTAGTTTGATACCAAACTTGATGGGATTTGATAAGTATGAAAAATTACAAAAAATCACTCTGCATTATGAAATTGCCCTTTTCCAGAAAAGATTTTTACCTAAAATATTATATTTTTTAAAAATAACGTCTTGCAACCATCAAGTGCAACGCTCACTGCAGTAAATCTGGGTGGGATGAGGGGAAAATCCCCCCCTCCCACTTTTGATGGACTGTACAAACATACCCCCTATTTTTGTGGGAAAGTTATTATTTTCAAAACATCACAACCAAAGGAATTATTATTATTGTCATTATTATTATTATATTATTACTATTATTATTATTGTTGTTATTGTCGTTCTTGTTATTTATTGCTCATTATTTATCAAAATTATAAGACCTAGTAGAAAAATTACCATCATAATATGATAGGAGGGTGTTTTGTATAGGGTGTTTTGTACAGTGGCGGAAGTTATGTCCTCTAATATTGCGGTTCGAAGGATAACAAAACTTGTATAGTTGTTGCAGTGTCAAAATTAAGAAATAATGCCAGAAAAAACACACGAACATCATTATAGGCTAAATAAAGTGAGAATAAATATTTTTATCAGGGATTTTTGGCAAAATTTAATTAGGGCTATGTGCATTTTGCCGTACCATAGGAATAAATTAAAATTTAAAAATATGTATCTGATGTATTTGCTTTAAAAATGTACTTCGAAGTAGTGATTCCACATCTACAGTACATGACCTAAGCCCCACCATGGTTTTGGTTGTGGTAAAAAAAAATATTTCTAGATGTCCGGAAAAAAACATTATTTTTATATGGTACAATTTATCATCTTCAATGACATGCATTATGAAGCGTAAACAAATTTCTCATTATATTTTGTATTAGACATTTTTGACAACCATTGAAATCTAATTAATAGGCCTATAAGATGTACCATAAAAATAGAATTAAGGGTCTTCCATTTTACGGGTTACCTGAGAGTGGGAAGTACCCTGTGGCCCTCCTAGATGTGTATAAGAGACAGGTGTAGCGCCCTCTATAGTCGTTTCTATGAAATAGAGGGGGTATCTACAGAATTTCCTGCAGTAATGACTATTTTTTTCCAAAAACTTTTTTTACAGCGATTTTTAAAGTTTTTTTTCGCGATTCTGTCTGCAAAAATGAATTTCTGTCTGAATAGAATTATGAAAATAATTAAAACTAATGATTTATTTATTCATTTTATGTATATTTAGATATCCAGTGAAAAAAAAAATTCTTCCCATAAGAATTTATATTTTTTTAGAATTTTTTTCCAAAAATGGTGATTTGCAACTAAAAAATGAGACAGGCCGGTTAAAAATTTGGGAGGGCAACTAAAACTTAAACCTTGGTTGCAATCTGTGCAACCATTTTATTTTTTTAATTCTGCAAGGCCTGTTCATATATAACAAATCAAGCTATTTTTTACGATATAATATATAAAGTCTTATTGGTTCAAACATCATCACCCTATTC